ATATATATATATATATATATATATATATATATATATATATATACATATATATATATATATTTGAGTTAAAAACACAAGAAAAACTGTCCAGATCAGTGACATAGAAAAAGTACCACTTTAAACATTTGATCACAAATTTAGATAAAAATTATTTTTTGATAGGTTTATTGCACTTTAAATTTTATGTGGATGCTTTGATCAGGCAGAGATGCGCTAAATCTTCAAGACTTTTGCTAAAACTAATATCCAGATGTCTCTAAGTGAAATCTAATAAAGTGTAATAAATTATACAAAGTTTGTTTTCTCAGTCATCCAGGTATATAACAACAAAAAACAAAAACGAAGTCCAGATGACATGATTCAACCTTTTTTGTTGTTATATACCTGGATGACTGAGAAAACAAACTTTGTGTTTTTGAAACCATTAGTGAAAAGGCCAGACTTCAGGGGTATCTGAGGCAGGCTTGAAACACAAGAGTCAGGGTGGCTTCTGGGTAATACCAGATGGCTAGGCCTCAGACTGACGAAGCCTCTTGGATGAGGGGCGAAACGTTTCTTTTTAACAAAAAAAAAAACGAAGTCCAGATGACATGATTCAACCTTTTTTGTTGTAATAAATTATCCTATTTTAAACAAAATAATCACCTAAAAGCAGCTACCATAAACTTTAATTACTCCAAGCTCATTCAACAATGGCTGCCCCAAGGATAGCATCAAAATAAAAACTCTGCTGCATATAATTAATAATGCAATACAGTTTTATCCCTAAATCTGAAGGTAGTAGGTGTTAGCAGGTGCTGAGACAGTGAACTAAACTTGATTGGAGGAGGTGACACAGGAAGTGCCTGCCTTTCATAAAAATCACCGCCTCTTACCAGGCTAACAATAAGTATAGTAGATTAAACTAACAGATGCTTGATGGATCTAAGCAGTTTAACACAGTGATGGAAATCCAATGTTGCTTCAACTACTGGAAAACTGTATCCATTTTATTAATCTGTATCTGAATAAAAAGTTGGAACTGAGTTTAAACGTACACCAGTGACAGGTTCTGAATAGATGTTCAGTTGAACAGTGGTCAAAGGCTCCAACAAGCTGACATTAAAAGGTGTTGAGCAAAAATCTTTCAAGTTTCTTTTTCTCTGCTACAAGTACCAGATTTTTGGGGCAACGTGTCAAACTTATTTTTATCTTCCAAAAAATATTATTTTCAGTTTATTGATCAATAAGAAAAAATAGCTTTTGTGTGCAAAGCACAGGATCAGATGTTGGCTTATCAAAAAAGACCTAGTGCACACAGAATTTACTAGTTTTTTCATAGACCACACTTACACTGTTAACTAAGTGAACACATGCAACCAATTAACATACAAACACAATGCTTCTAAAGTAATTACAGGAATTTTAAATATATATTATTCATTAAACTTACAGGTGGCAAATGAAGACTGGTCAGACATGGTAGCGAGGACTCCCACCATGGCAGTTACTGTGACTGTAAAGACTCTCCCAGGTAATAAACCAGTGAAATTGGATGTGATGGCTGTAGTTTTAGTCCAGTTATTATATGGAACATCTGCATTTGTGATGTTCACCATATAATAGTCAACTCCTCCTTGAGACGAAGTCCAGTTGATGTTTAAGTAGTCTGTTCCTCTTTCTGTAGCCATAATGTTTTCAGGCTTTTGGGGCTCTAAGTGGCAAACAAAAAACAAAGTTAGAAAAAAAAATCTATTTTGATTATCACATGTTAATACAATACATTTCTATAATTTTATTTGAACCCATCCAGAGGACCTGACTTAACTTTTTTGGATTTTTCTACCTGGATTATTGAGCATGCATAAAGATATGTGAATACAGCTTTTCTATTAACATATATATATTTTTTTTGCTTTTCTGCAAAAAAATCTCATTTAATTTAGACTTGAGACAAAGTGAATGGTTCAAAAGACAAATTTTAAGCTGTTTGTGTGTGTGTGTGTGTGTGTGTGTTGTTTTATTTGTTCAAAAATAACTATTGTAAAGAAGACTGACTACTACCATCTTTGTTGTGCAAAAGTTTTTTTTTAGCCTGATTTCTATCAGGGACCTTTGTATAAATACTTTATGAAACTCAAATACCAATACAACAATAACAAACATAAAGAAAAAAGAAAAGCAGATATCTGCCTGCACAACAAAATAAAGCAAAAAACAAGAAAACGTTAAAACTTTCAGAAAAGTTCATGTGTACTTATTGTGAACAAACCAACATAGAACTTACTTGTATACAATGAGACTGTTGTTGCTTCTCCTTTAGTTATATTATCTCCATCTACTGCAGTGATGCTGAAATTGTACTGTACTCCTGGAGTCAACTTAGGTATGGTGATTTGTGCGTTGTTCACACTGAGACTCTGACTTAGGGAATTATTTGTCCACACTACTGTGTAAAAAGAAGTGAATCCCTCTGGTTCAGTCCACTTCAGAGACACAGAGGTTGTTGTGAAGTCGATGACAGTGAGATTTCTGACTACTGCAGGTTCTGTGAGTGACAGAGAACAGACACGACAGAGAAAAAGTACATTACAATACAATATTATGCATAAATACCGGTTTACTTTTTTTTTTACTCACACCACAATTCAATCTGTGTTCTTATTCCATGATTACACACCATACTCAGTTTTGAACTTACTTGTGTACTGAGAAACAGAATTGTTGGCTCCTTGAGTATAATTATCACCAGCTACAGGAGTGACAGTTATTTTATAAAGGACACCAGGCATCAGGTTCTTAATGGTGATTTTTGTATCCAATACAATGGAATTCTTGGTTTGATTTTCATCTGCCCACTGAACGTTAAAGGAGATATTTTTTCCCAGTAGTTCAGTCCAATTTAGAGATATGGAGGAAGTTGTGATTTCAGTTACAGTCAGATACCTCACAACATCAGGCTCTATCAGGAAAGGCATTGAAGAAAAATTACATAAATTAACTCAAGTCTTTGTTTTGTGAAACACTCCATGGAAACCAGAGACACACATCCCCTAAAAGCTCTCTCATCATCAACACTGACAAGTCAATCAGCATCACTGTAGTTCAACTCCAAATTCAACACAAAGACAACTCACTTCACTTGTGGACCAACTAGAAATAAACACTTTGTCTCACGGATAAAACTCTGTATCAAGATTTTGTGCTTAACCATTTCTAAACATGTACATTTTTTTCTTGGGTAAGTGAAAAAAAAAGGTGTTCAAACAACCATTTTTAGCAAAGTATTAGAACTTGACTGGTCTATATTTAAAATGTTTACTTACTTGTGTATCTGAAAA